AATATGTTTTTATTATCATTCGCTTCAAATGTTTTCTAATAGTCCTTGTGATTTCATCTTTGATACACGGAAAATAAAGAAGTGTGCTATTTAATTCCCAAACATTTGGGGATTTTCTACCTTTTATTATTGATTTCTAATTTGCTCCTATTATTGTCAAAGACTGTAATTACCATTTCCATCATGTGTAGATGGAATTTAGAGACTAGTTTAAGGCTCAGTGTATGGTCCATCTTGGTGAACACTGCACGTGCACCTGAAGAGAACATGTATTCTATGGTTGCTGAGGGTAGCACCCTATAAAAGTCAATTAGGTCAAGTTGGTTGATAGTGTTGTTCATATCTTCCATAGTCTTTCTTTTTCCTTTTCTATCAATTACTGAGAAAGGCTGTTAAAATTCCCAAATACCATTGTGGCTTTGTCATCTTCTCCTCTTCTATGCATTTTTGCTTCTTCATATATTTTAAAGCTCTGTTATTAGGCAGAACATGTCTTCCTATTTGTCCTATTAAAAGGGACCAGGAGCTATAGACCTAGGAGTCTCCCTTGGAAGTAGGAGTAAAGTTCAAACTTGTAACAAGAAAAGGTCTGATTCGTTTGGCCAGTCTCTAAGCAGTATGGGCTGTGCAGAGTTCAGGAGCCAGCACACCTCACAGGCCACTGAGCAGACTGTGATAACTGCTTTATGATTAAACATCCATATCTGTTTCAGTCAGGGTCACATGCAGGGCATGGTGGCCTATGCTAAAAGAAACTCTCAAAAGGAGCTTGTGGGCATGGCAGGAAAGGGTTTGGCCATCTAGTTACATGAATCATCACTCTAATTTTATCCATTAGGAATGGAAGATATGTACTAGCACATGCAACCTCATCATCTCTGTGTTGAGGACCACTCCAAGAAAAGAGAGGATCTTCACAAGCCAATGGGACTGAGGAGCTTTAGTTTACCACATCTGTATGAAAGGTTACCTTTCAAGGTATGGAGAGAAAAGAATATTGAACATACAATGCATTCTCCATGCCTCCAACATTTCTGCTCATAAAATCAAGTTCTAAAAGCCTTAGTTTTAAACTTATTTATGTTTTTTATCAGCATTTAATTAATATGTATTGCTTCCCAACTTTGTGGAGGGAAATTAACCAAAGGCCTTACCCAGACAGACCTCAGAAATCAACAGAAGAGTGGCATGATCACAGCTGTACTTTGGGAGGATTAACTTCATCTCAGTATTTTATTGGACTGGAGGCAGGGAAACCAGTTAGAAGGCTATTACAGTAATTAGTTCAAGACAGAGATAAATGGAGGGACGGATTTAGGGCAGTAAAAGAAATGAGTTAAATATAATATAAAAAATAATATAAGATAGAAATGATAAATGCTCTATGCTTTCACATTTTTAAATGGTTTCTTAGAGAATATTACCAGTGCTGAAACACTCTTCTTTCCCTTAGTTACAGGTGGAGGACAACCTGGTAAACAACTGTTTTCATTCTTGCACATACTAATATAAAATGGTGACGACCTATCATCATATTATAGGTGAGTAATTGGTCAGATGTTGGGACAGAAACATTTGAATGTTTAAGAATTACACTTTTGTACCTAGAGCTTACCACCAGCACTATCTGGTTAACTATACTACTTGGATTTTAGCTTTCATTTCTAAGATCAAACATCAACAACTCAAAAACTAGGTACAGAACTACATTTCTCAAACTAAGCTGGGAGCAGTGAACTGTAAAACATGAGTCTTGAAGAGATTTTGAGAAGTTCATATTTTCATTTCAATAATATATATTTTTTAAAAGTATATTCTGGATCACCTTGATAACCACCTCATATCTACCATCAATGGTACCAGAATTAGAGTGGGCACAGAAGGGTCTTACAAGGTAAATGATATATTTATGCCAAGTGAAAGCCAAACCACCTAACCAGTGATTTAAGGAGGAAAGCTCTGCAGCATTCAAACATAGAAAAGTAGTGTAGGAGTTGAGTTATCATAGGATATACAGCATATAGAAAACTGCACACCTAGCCAAGGCCCACAATAGTATATTCACTATGCAAAGAAAGATTTCATTTCAGCAAAACAACATCATCCATCACCCTAAATTTAATTGGTTTTACTGGCTTTACAGTTTTGTTTATATTTCATTTATAAATTTACTTTTCTTTTATACTTCCATATAAGCAATAAGCATAAGGAATTTATATACATCTAAAAATTAAATATTTTAATAAAATAAAACTATTTAGGCCAATACTGAGGATCCACAATATTTTTTTCCCTTTAAAGGGAGATTGTATATTATTCATGCTCAAGATTAACCTGGTGGAAAAAACATGGGGATTCACATCAGAAAGATCTGCTTCCAAATCTTGACTCTCCTAGTTGCTTATCATGTAACCCTAAGCAATAATCTCTCTAAGCCCTAGTTTTTTGGGTTTTCTTTTTGCGGTACACGGGCCTCTCACTGTTGTGGCCTCTCCCGTTGCGGAGCACAGGCTCCGGACGCGCAGGCTCAGCCGCCATGGCTCACGGGCCCAGCCGCTCCACAGCATGTGGGATCCGCCCGGACCGGGGCACGAACCTGTGTCCTCTGCATCGGCAGGCGGACTCTCAACCACTGCGCCACCAGGGAAGCCCTAAGCCCTAGTTTACTTGCAGGGTTACTGTGAAGACAGTTATGCGGTACAGTAAAGCTCAAATGAAAATTCTTCTCTTCTTTTCCTATCTAAATTAGCTTCTCCTGATTTCTCCCTTTTTTAAAAATTTTATTTACTTACTTACTTACTTACTTACTTTATTTATTTATTTATTGGCAGCTCCACATGGCATCTCAGTTCCCTGACCAGGGATTGAACCTGGGCACTGGACAGTGACAGCATGGAGTCCCTACCACTGGACCACCAGGGAATTCCCTCTCCATAGAACTTTTAATCTGTCATATATCATGCAGATTACACCTTCACAATGTCTCCTTCCCACTGTAACCAAGAGTTTCCAAATCTCCAAAGCTCAGAGCCAACTACGTATTTTTACCTTTATCTCCTCTCATCTGCAATACCTCCTACAGAAAAAGCTACAGGACTTATCTCCCTCAAGTGCATCTCTGAGGCTGTCACTCTCCTACTCAAAAATTTTCTGTAAGTCTCAAGGCCTTCTGTATTAAGGTTCTACCCAACCTAGCAACTTTATCTCCAATTCCTAAAGTTTCCTGAGGCAAAGATACTGAGGTATCGCCCATCCCTAGCATAGTATGCGACACATAATAGATACCCAATAGTAATATTTGAAAAAAGTAACAGGAATCTGTAATGCTCCTCTCCACCAAAACAGACGACTGACTACCTCCACTGGCATAACTCTTCATTTCTTTCTAACACACTTCTAATTATTAATTGTTTTAACCACAATAATCTAAAAGCTGGTCTTGAAAGACAATCACAAGGAATCACAAAAAGACAATAGCACTCGGTGATTTAAAAAAAAAAAAAGAAAGCCAGTGAAAAAGCATTAAATCTCCCTCTTTATTTTAATTATTTTAAAAATTCTTAGTTTTACTATTAACTTAGCAGCTGGGTTGGCATGGCCCAAATAACTGCAACATAAAAGTTATAAGAAAAAACAACAACAACAAAGACAACCAAATTCCTACTGGATAAAACGAGAATATCAGGAAAAAAAATGATTTAGAAAATTCATTAACTAAAACCTCTGAGTACCTCTCAGTTATTTCCCCTAAAAAATTTTTTTGGTCTCTTATTCTTCTAGTGAATGAATTCGGACACTCAAATGTCCAAGCTATACACACAAATATTTCCTCTCTGAATAAAATACTCAATGAATAATATTGTATGACATACTATGACATCATCTCTTTGTAGGAAACTTGGATAAGGAAAATCACTGCTATCGTAAACATTACCAGGGGTCATTTCTTAAACATTCACCTCTCTGTTCACTCATATATTCAACCTTCCAGTGACCCAACCTTCCACTACAAAAGCTGGAAAAAAACAGAGGGCCCCAAATTAATGTATAAAAATTTGATTCACATGTAACTTTTCAGTAACACTACTGTTGGGGATCTGCAGCACAATCTAAAACATACATGAATCTTTAGGTAACCTAACGAAATTAGACAATGGCTGTCACAGAGTCAATCAAGCCAATTCTCCAGCTCTTTAAACAAAGGGCTAACAAGTCAAGTATGTAAAATAAAACAGAGGTCTCAATTTATCTTTAACCAACTTAAAATTTGACTCGTATCAAGTGCGAGCATCAAGCCATCACAACTTCCTTAACAATGAAGGTAAAACTTGTGAACAAAAATAGAGCGCCCAGAGCTGCACTTCACTTGGATCATAAAATCTACTGTGAAATTTTCCATAACTTTACTCTCTGAATTCATGAAATGGATGAGAGGCAGGGAAAAACATGGATATCAAATATGACTGACAGTATCTCAATTGTTATTTGCCAAATGGCAGGGCCCAAGGGGTCCTCTATAGATGACAGAGCCATAAAAGAAAACGGCAACAGTTTTAATGATTACAAAACTGGTCCATATGCTCAAAAAATGTGAACATCCACACCCCAACAAGTCACAGACTATGATCTAAGACACAGAGCTTAAATGCAGAATAAAATGTCAATGCTCTGCCTCCCTAAAGAAACATACAACCCCATAAACTGCTGAACATCATCAAACCAACACCCGCCAGAGTGGATATTTTAAATATTAAATCAGGTAATCATGATAACTGCTAGCGGTTCATCTAGGCCTCAGCAGCAGCCTTAGGTGTAAGAGCAAACTCAAGCCCTCTTAACACTCAAAGAATAATGTTGATGTCATTATGAGGCTACTGATTCTTTGCCCTCTGAACTAGTCATTCCCTGACCCACGACGCAATTCTTCTCCCACCCACCCCCTCCCCCAAATAAAGAGAGCTCAAAACAGAGCAGCCCTCGGGTATCCCCTTCTCCTCTACCTCCGGCGGCTGCCGCTGTCTCCTCCCTCCGGCTCCGAGGTGGGGACTCCAGAAGGTCCCGGGCAATTCCGAGCCCGGGCGGTGCTTGTTTTGCCTGTGCACGGTAGCTCCGGCCAGCCGCTTCCTTCCCCAGTCTGCACGAATTGGAGCGCTACAGGGATCCCGGGGGCCAAGGAGGGAGCCCGGGTGGCGACGCCGCCGCGGCCGCCGCCTCTGGTATGTCAGGGGCCGGGATTGTATTTCGAAAGATCCGCCATTTTCACCTCGTCATCACCATCACAGCTCAGCAGCTTCCCCGACAGCCGGAGCCCGGGCCGCCGCCGCCGCCGCCGCCGCCGCCGCCAGTAACCTCCCCCTTCCTCCTCCTCCCCTCCCCGGCCCTCCCCTCCGGAGAGGCGCACACCCACATATCCGGGGAAACCTCCCGCCGGCCCCGCCAACCTTCAAATGCTCAGGGAGATACTAATGCACACACAGCCCACGCTGAGACCTTTCACCCTGCCACGAAAGATGGTGCTCCGGCGGGCCCGGTAGCAACGCGAAAGCAAGTCGTGCAACCTGCGGGGCCCCAAGTCCGGCACATTTTTGTTTTGAAGAGCAAAAAACATGCGGAAGGGGGCAGAAGGGCAATAAAGAGCCCAAACTCTCTCATTTTCAGGAAAGCAACTTGAGAGAGATGACGGAATGCCTTTTATTCAGTGTCCCTCTCAGACACTAAAAACAGGATCAAGACCTTTAATGTCATTCACCAGCTCTGACATTTTCCTCCACCGTCAGCACTACTTTTGACAGAATGGGCTACTTCCAACTGCACGTCCGACCTCTCTGATACATTTGTAAATTACAGGCATTGATTCTCACGCAGATACTGTAGTCAAAAGGTCTAGTTTTCAAATAAATTTCTGAACTATTTTCCACTTAATTTCGTCTGATCATTTCTGTCCATAAACACTGTGACTTCCAGTTCGTTTGTCATTGGTTTAAGACGTCAAAGTGCCACTAGGTTTAAAATGTACTGAACCTATTCATAAGTGAACAATTTCTAAAATACAGAAAATATACCTCTAAGTTAAAATTCTTTGCCAAATGCTTTTAGAATCTAAGTCACCAAATTTAAAAAAAAATCTGCCGCTGATATGTTTATTTGATACTGTGAAAATAAGCAGCTTGCTTCAGAGCAAGACCCTAGAGTTACCCACCCAGCTCCACCAGCTCCTCTCATCATGCAGTTTAATAAATAACTAAAAGAGAATATACGCAAATTTTAATCATCAAAGAAATATCAAGAAAACATAAGCTGCAAGGCTTCTGATGGGAACAGAATTTTTAAAAAAAAAAACTAAGTTGACTACCTTTGTTAATTTCAGATTTGATAACCACCCATTGAAAAGCTGAATTCTATACCTACCATTCAACTACAGCATAAGCTCTAAAAGACCTGTCTGAAATGAGCAAACTGAATTTCAAGGTTTCGAACAGAGACACTCTACCGCCTTTTTTAAAAGTTAGTTTAAAAAGAGAAAGGCAGAAGTTGAAAAAAGGCATTTAATTTCCTTACCTTGCTTGAATGACAACTCCATATAAAAGTCGGTAGCTTCAGGCTTAAACAAGTACTATCACCCAGCCCAGTCGCCGTTTCTATATGCAGCCTGCTAGACTCTGAGAGTATCAAGTCTTCCCAATTTCTTTATCTTTAAACTTTATTTCCCCACGGCCAGCCCTGTTCACCCCCACTCTGCTTGGTGTTTACCGTTGGTTGGCCAAGCTAAGTCTTGGCCCGCTCCCTTCCCCCGTGCACCTCGGGAACATTGTGACATTTGACTGGTGGGCTTCGCGAGGAAAACGGACATACACGAAGAAGACACCATACAAAGGGGCATAGGAAGAACGGGGCGGCGGGCAGTAGGGAAAGGAGGAGCTGGTACAAAATGACACAGCAGCAAAACCAGTTCCCAGAAACCCGGGGCCGACACGGGGGCTCCTCGGGCCGCGCAGTGTGCGTGTCAACAGCCGCGGGAGCCCTTCCTCCAGACCGCCGGGAAGGGCGGGCTGCCGGCAGAGCGCCGGCCCCGCTGGGTGACAGCCGCCCTCCCGAGTGCCGGCGGGAAGGGGCCGAGCCCGGAGGATCCTCCCTCCCCCTGCGGCCCAGGGATGTGGCGTGGCGTCCCCCAGACTGCAGGTTCCCGCTCTCCGCCACTACCCACTAGCCCGGGCTCCCGGAGGGGGCGGTCCGGCGCCCTCCGCCCGCGCCACCACCCGCAGCGCCCCCTTTCCCGCCCGCCTGCCCAGAGGCCCCCACCCCGGGGGCTGACACTCACCAAAGCCGGCGGCGCCGCCGCCTCCTTCTCACGCCGCGATCTCTGGGCTCCCCGCAGCCGCGGCGGCGGCGGCGCCTCCAAGACACAGACCCGGGTTTGTTCAAAATCACGCGCCCAGCGCCATTCCACCGCCGCATCCCATAATACGCTGGGCCCTCCCCTCCCGCGCGCCCCTCTCCGCCCGCCCCTCCACTCTGCCCGCCCCGCCTCCACGGCTTCCTTCTCCCCGCCCTTTCCGCGGCGCCTTGCCCCGCCCCTTGGCAACCCTAGCTAGCGTCATCCCGCAAGGCGGCAGCGAGTACGCTCCTGCTCCACGTGACTCCGAGTGTGCGCTCTGTCAAAGCTTTCGCACGGAATGTTCCATCCAGCTGAAGCTGGGAGGGGGAAGGCGGGGTCGCGCCCGAGCTTGGGAGGGAGTGTGTTATCTTCTAGCTTTCCTTGTTAGGAAGTCTGTGCTGTAGGTGCGATTTCCAGCATCTTGCCGTTGTTTGATGTTCTTGGGTGGGGAAGTGATCAGTAATCACAAATGCCAAATCTCTTTGTTTTTTAGACACTGATTTTGCGGGGGTCGCTAAAAAAGCCCCTGGAAGACCACGCAGAGTTAAACTTATTTTGAAAGGGACTTTTTTTTACGGTATACAGTCAAGACTAACACAATCAAAATTCTTTGTATTTGGTAATCTTTTACGCTTATTTTTCCCGGTATTCTTTTTATAAGGTGAGAAAAGATGCCCAAATTTGGAGTCGGATAAGCAAGCAGAGATTCAGTGAATAACTGCCCTGTATGAGAAGACTACAGAGGAAACAATAGAAAATACAAAAGAGTATATACGTAGTATAAAATGGTGTGGTACAGTTTGTAATGGCTAGTGAAGCACGGAGGAGGTGCAGGTCAACGTGAGAGACTGTAACCTGGGAACACAAAGGAGGAGGTGAGACATGCTGTAGTGGAAGCAACAATCATTTTGGAGTTAAGCAGTCCTAGTTTTAAATTCTGGCACCACTAAAGTGTATAACATTTATCAAGTTTCTTTTCCCATCTACAAAAGAAAAATAACATAGCTTTCCAAGATCCTGGGGATCATATAAAGTGAGAGGTGTCAAGCAGCTACACACAGTCTCTGCCTCAAATGTTAGTTCTATTTTACCATAATCAACAGCACCCCATACCTTCCACCTCAAACTCTATGGTTAGGATTTAGATAGACAAGTGGCATGAAATTAGCAAAGGCTTGGTAGCGGGAAGGTCTGGAGCCTGTGCAAGGAACGTGAGAAACCTGCATGATACACAGGCTTTATTGAAGATCAGTAGGTGAGTCCAGTTTATGAGGAGCTTTGAGAGCTGGTGTAAGAAAACATCCTGGTGGTGGGAATTCCCTGGTGGTCCAGTGGTTAGGCCTCTATGCTTGCACCCCAGGGGGCCTGGGTTCCATCCCTACTCGGGGAACTAGGATCCCACAAGCCACCCGGCCAAAAATTAAAGGAAGAAAGAAAGAAAAGAAAAGGGCCTTGGCAGTTAAAAAAAAAAAGTGGTTAAATGATGGGTGGTACTTGTGGGGCACCTCTGGAAGGAAGAAGAGAGTGAGATGGGGTACCCAAATCCGGCTGGAATCTAGGGAAACAAAGAATCACCTTCAGAAGGAGAAAATTTCTCAATTTATTCCACAAGGCTAGCATAAACCGGTTACCAAAACCCAAGGCAAAGAGCACCAAAAAAAAAAAAAAGGAAAATTCTTCTATTCTCACTATGACTTTGTTAAAAAGACAAAATTGAGTATTAAGACATAAAATCCAGTAACGTGGTAGTAAAAAGAATTCACACCATAACAAAGAATGGTGGTTTAACATTAAGAAATCTACTCATGACATTTATTAAAGTAAAGGAGAAAAGCCAAATGATATTCTCTAGAGATGTACCATATAACATTCAACAGCCATTTCTGAATTTTAAAAATTTCTTAAAGAACAGTTCCTTAATTGGGTCAAGATAATTATAAAAAAAATGACAGTAATATCATACATTAGAGTAAAATGGCAGAAGTACTCTCGTTAAAATCACAGATCCAGGGACTAACCTGGTGGTTCTGCGGTAAAGACTCTGCCCTCCCAATGCAGGGGGCCTGGGTTCGATCACTGGTCAGGGAACTAGATCCCGCATGCCCCCGATTGCTGCATAAGACCCGGTGCAGCCAAATAAATGAATATTCTTTTTAAAAAAATCAGGGACCCACAAGGATGCAGGGCCATAGTAGCTATTTAACATTTTTCAGGGCGTCCTAGCTAAATGCAATTAAATAAGAACGTTAAAAAAAAAAGCTTGAAATAGTGGAAAGAAGAGACAAAATTGTCCTTATTAAAAATAATCACAAAGAGCTCAGTGTTGTGGTTAACTGTTTGGCCTCTGGAGCCAGACTGCCTGGATCCAAATTCTGGCCCTGCCACTTAATAGCTGTGTGAACCTAAGCAAGTTACTTTCCTCTTGAACCTCTGTTTCCTCATGTGTAAATTGGGAATAAAGTATCATCATAAGGTTGTTGTGAAGATTAATGAGGTACTATGTGTAAAGCATTTTGAATAGTGCCTGGTATATGGTAAGAGCTCATGACTGAAAACTAATAATAATCTAAGCTACAATACAGTCTAAAATATAATGTAATTTTTTACTTTTTCAAGGAGAGCATTTTTAGCCCCTAAGAACCACTGCTGTTCAAACAAAACAGAATCTGTTTATATTTGCATGACAGCTTTCCTAGATGAACTAAAAGCATTTATTCAGCAAGTATTTGTTGATCATCTACCAAATCCTAAGCACTGACAAGACACTGGGAATAAAGTGGTAAACAAGACAGAGCAGCTCTATCCAATGGAATGTTCCGCCATGGTAGAACTGTTCTATATCCACACTGATATAGTAGCCGCTAGTCACTTGTGCCTGTCAAGCAACTGAAATGTGGCTAGTGTGAATAAGGAACGAAATTTTCATTTCATTTCATCGTCATTAA